ATAGATCATATATATATATATTACATTTTCTTTATCCATTAATCTGTTGTTGGGCATCTCAGTTGAATTTCAAAAGCCAAACCTAGAACTACCCTAAGACCCAGTTGTACCACTCCTGGGCGTATATGCAAAGGAATCCACACACAGTAGAGACACCTGTTACCCATATTTATTGTGGTGCTGTTCACAGCAGCCAAGATGTGGAATCAGCCCCCTGGTTCTATAAGTAAAGCTCTTTTCTTCTCTGACAATTTCCAATTGGGTTTTGTTGTATTGCAGAATGAATCCAGTTGTTTAAAAGGGTGGTATGAAATCATTCAAATTCCTTGTTTTATTTTGGGCCAGTGATGGAAGATGTATAGATAAATTAAACGCATTAGAAAAGAGTCTCCAGGGTAAGGGATGCAGCTAAGTGAAAGAGCATTTTTCTAGCATTCATGGGATGTTGGCTTCAATACCCAGCGCTGCAAAGAGGAGGAAAGGGATGGAGGGGTGGGGAGAAGGAGAGCGCGTGCCCCCAAAGATCCGTAATTGTTTCTTTAATCTCTAGGATTCTGTCAGGCAAGGTCCTAATGTAAAAGTGATGGATGTGTCAGGTTCTTCCTTCTCTGTTAGGCATGGGGTCCATTTGGGTTCCTAAGTAGCACTTTTCCAGTGTCATTTCCTTGTCCCAGAGCCTAACATGCCTCCTTTGGGTATCTGTGATTTATGAGGTGGGGAATAATAAAGAACGTGGATTTGTTCCCATCAACATTCTCACTTCCCTCCCAGAATGAGAGTGGCCATTTCCTGCCGTCCCACCTTTGTGGAGAGTTAACAATGGCCCAGAAGGAAAGAAAGGGATAATAATACTTGACATATAAAACACTTAACTGCTTTAAAGTCATCTCACATATGGCATTTCTCTGGGACCTCCCAGCAGACCTCTGAGTCCTGGAGTGGAGGGAATGCCGTTATTCCCATGCCATAGAAACAGGCTGTTCCTGTGAGTGATTCATTCAAGATTTTGTACCTAGTGAATTGCAAGAGAGATCTGAACTCAGGTCTAACAGACCTCCAGTCTGGGGCTTTTTCTCTCTGTCACAGTGACCTCTCTGGGCTCAGGAGCAGAGACCTCCCAGGCCAGCCAACTCTGCTCTCCCCGGAGTCTCCACTGCCCTCCGCCACCATAATTCCCCTTTTCTCCAGCCGTGGTCAGGCTTTTGTGGTGCACCTGTTCCCGGCACCTCCTTTCTGCAGATGCTGTCACGGCCACTCCGGCCCCTGGACTCTTGTTCTTGCAGCGCAGACTCTGGTTTTGTCCCATCTTGCACTACTTCCTAAAAGTTTCTCAAATTAATTTTGTCTCTCAGCTAAATAAGAAATTTTCTGACGGAAAGGACAGTGCCTTAGGCTTCCATGGGAAAAGCCCCTGCCAGTGTGCTTGGTTGGTGCTGATAACCAACTTTGGGATCTGATTGTTAAGCTTTCTGGATTTTGAGAGCTGGTTGCCTTGACATTGGTAGCTTGAAATTAGCCGTGGTGAGAGTGTTCATACATGGAAATTGGCAAATCAGGCCCATCCCTTCCTACCCCCTTTGGAGAGCTGGTTGTTAAGAATTTACCAGTACATTGCTGGCTTGGGCTGAAAATTCTAACTACTAAGGAAAAGTGATACCATGCTCTCTTTACTTATAATTAATGAGACAAAGGAAATAACAATTACACCTTTCTTTTTGTCCAGAGAAATTATGCTGCCCTTGGGCTTATACCCCATTGTTCTGTGAGCCGCTCTTTGAGGATCAATATGCTCACATCCCTGCTCAGGTTTAGGAGCCAGAAGCCAGAGGGTTACGAAAGGTTGAAGCCCCAGACTCTGGATGGCATAGACAGAGAATGTTTGCATTCTCACAAGATTTTCTTGTTGGGGGCAGCGAATGAAGCCTCATCTTCATTGGACTAACTGAAGACATGGCTGTTTCCGAGCAGGGAGACTTGACCGGTGTAGCAGATGCTGGAGGAAGAGAGAGTGACAGCTGGGGAGAGGCTGTGTTTCCCCCTGGGAGCAGACAGAGGCCATGGAATTTGTCTGACTGTGACTTCGTGTGTATTCTTGTCCTCTGAAAGAATGACACACATTCTCCTCCTTTGTGTTCCTCAGACGCTCTGCGTGGCTCTGTGGAAACCTCGATGTTAGCCACCTTCCGGGCCCTGGCACTAGACAGGTTAAGGGTCAGCTCCTTGGCTCAGAGAGAAGGGACAGGAAACCACTGAATCGGGCTTGAAGGGCTGCTGTTCTCAGGGAGGGCATCTGGTTGGAAGTCAGCGGGAAATGTTCTCCGCGTGGAGATGGCCTCTTCATGGCTGCATCTCAGAGAAATCTCTCTTCTCCCAGGACTTGGTCCCGCTTTAAATATAGGGATCAGTTTAGGATAAGGCTGAGCCAAAATACGATGCCTCAGATATGTCCATTATCTGTTTGGTCTGAAGGAATCAGGGGATGGCTTGTAAGAAGACATCCAAGCGTGAAATAGTACGTGTATGATTATTAAATCCTTTAATTCATAATAACCTGAATGTCTAAGCCATGGATTTCTCTCTTCTTTCTCCCAGTTCTGACTGTGGGGGATTCTGGCAGGACAGTGACTATAAGATCCCAATATACTTCCTACTCTGTGTCTTAAATCCTGCCTTCTGAACAGACTTGCTTTGTTCATGAGAAAGCTAATGGCCTCCAAACTGATTTTTCCTTAAGGCTTCTAGTCATCCTCCTCAAGGATAGTGATACCGTTTTGCAAATAACTTTTCCACTCTCTCTGTCCCCAGTCCAGGAAGCCACAAGGGCACTCAGTTGCTCAAACAGCCAATGTTGTTTTTGAAGCATTCAGGCCTTTCTCCTCCACTCTCACCCCTACTCTTCCCACCATGCTCCATACCCTGCCCCACATGGGGCACTGCAGGGACCCGGTCCTGTGAATGCTGTTATTTTCCTTCCCAGAACTGCTCAACCTTGTCCAACTCTTAGTTCCATAAGGTCTGCATCCCCTCAAATCCTCAGTCAGTACACTAAGTGGTGCCTGGCCTCCCTAAGTCTTGGGTAAATGTGTCGGTTGGGCTCTGAGCTTCAAGTCAGGGGACACAAGTTCTAATCTTCACCATGTAACTAACTAGCAGGTTTTTTTTTGTTTTTTTTTTTTTGGTACCAGGGATTGAACTCTGGTCCTTGCGCTTGTGAGGCAGGCGAAGGAACCACTGAGCTAAATCCCTGGCCCAAACTAACTAGCAGTTTAACTAGCTTCCTTATGCCTAAATTCCTCCTCTGCGAGTGAGGATGCTAATGGCAGCCTCACAGGATTGAGATAAATTTAGGAGAGCATCATTGTATAAAGGAGTACTTGTCGATGAGATCTGTGGTGAGGTCAAATTTACTACTTTGGCTCTGTTCTGCCTAGGGAATGTGGGAGAGCAGCAGAGAGCCAGAAAATGCCAGAGGAAGCAAAGCCAACACCTGGGAGCACAACTGGAAAAATACAGGCACCTTAAGACAGGCTCAGCTCTTGCAGCAGATGTCACTGTCTACGCAGACATAGACTGGAGAGTGCTACCCCTGTTGTGGGCCACACAGGGATGAACATGTGTATAAAGATGCGTGTGTGTGAATATGCACGTGCATGTATCAATATGTGTAGTAGACATGCGTGAGTGTGTAAGCACATGAGTAGAGAGGTGAGTGTGGGGCCAATATCATATGGGGGCATGCACGAGTATATTTATTTGTACACGTGTGTCTTTGTGCATGTCTGTGTGTGTAGATGTGTATGCTTCTTTCTTGTTTTCATGAAATTGATTTCAGGGGGAAAAGAAACTGTTTTTATTTCATAATTTGGAGTTAAGAAACTGTGTTTGGTATTGTTTTTCTTTTATAGTCTACTACTTATCCTGACTAGAGCTCTCATTGTCCTTCCCCTGCTGAAAAACCATCACCCCTCTGCAGCCATGAGGAAAAGGGAAGCATGCCTAATACAATCTACTAGTCATTCTTTTTTTTTTTTTTTTGTACCAGGGATCAAACTTGGAACCTTGCCTTTGTGAAGCAGGTGCCAGAACCACTGAGCTAAATCCCTGGCCCAGTCATTCGTAAACTTTACCTTATGCATCATTTTTTCTTATTGCTCCCCCCAAATTTCAGAGGGTCTAGTGGCCAGCCACCTTGAAAGGGAATGAATTTTATATCATCGCCTTTCATTTTGGCAGAGCTCTGACTGAACCACCACCTGGGTTATGTGTCAGTAAGACAGATGATACCAGAAGCCTGAAAAATTCAGACTTCATTCAGCACCCAGTAGCTGAGCACTGACTTGAGAGCTATATCTCAAAGCTGTGGGGCAGTGATCAGGAGTGTGGGGACTGCAGTCAGCTGGACTTAGGTTCAAGTCCCCACCCTGATACTTTCTAACTGTGTGGCTTTAGAAAAGCTGCTTTGCCTAACTTCATCTTTAAGTTGCAAACAGGAGCAGTAGATACAACATGGGCGAATTGTGAAGACCAAGAACATAAGGTGCATGAAGTACTTGTCAATGCACATTAGCCTTATCCTTAAGTATATCAAGAAATCATGCATTTCCTTGTCTTTTGACTCCAAACAGGATAAAAGTCTGAGAATTCTGTGAAGGTCACCTTTGCCTCTCCTCACATAGGCAGTGACTTAGTCCAAAGCAAGTCATGCCTCCTGTCTACCTTCCTGGGTTGCAGACCAACAGCTGGCTGAGTGGTAACCCTGTTACCCTCATCTTCACATTGTCTTATCTTGTATATCTTCAGGCCATCACTACAACTTTGATTTTTCCTTTCCTCCAAATTTCTAGATATTCCTTGACCACTTCTTTATGATTTCCGTGCTTAGCTCATATAGGTAAGGGGGAAATGCTATATATCATCAAAAACTTTGATTTTCTTGTCATGATCATGAAAGACTAGCAACCTTTCCTTCCCCACCAAGATATAAGGAGGAGTCAGTTGTCTCTTCTAAGAGTGCTATGGATGGAGATGTAGGGCCATGTGTAACCTCTGGCTCATCCCTTCCCGGTAAGGCTACCAAATGTAATGCAGGACTCAGTTAAATGGGTACATTTTTCACTCACTAAATACAGCAACTTTGCACCAGGTGCTCCCTCCTGGCGCTGTGATTGCTAGTTATTAAGTAGCTCCGAGCCACCCACCTGTGCACTGCAGCGCCACATAGGCTGGAGTAAGACGCATAGACACTGGTGCCATAAACGTGGTACTTGGGGTCTTGGCATCCTGCTGGACACTTCACAATGAACTCAGGATTGATTATCTTTCCAGCTTGGACATCACAGTTGATCTGAGGCACAGCTGGGAATGCAAAATGAGGCCCAAATTACACTTTGTGATATCAGTTTATGTAGGACCCATTAGGTCATAGTATTCATTTACTTAATCTCTAAAAATCAGAACCTAAGCTAACCCGGCATCCCTTCCTGATAATGAGGGCAAAGATGTAATTAGGATGTTCCTGAGACCAAAAGAACAACAATGAGTGTCCAATGCATTTAACCTGCTGAAGGTGAAAACAGAAAGCCGATTCCTGTGCTTATTTGGACAATTAATTAAGGAAGAGAGCACCGGGAAAAGATCCACCTCTGGTGACGTGAAATAATCTTGGGTCAGTGGCAGGAGGTTTCGGGTTTTTCAGATGCTCTGTTCTTAACCCTGGAAGAGAAAACTCTCAGACAACCTTACAGGTGGAGAGAAAGCTGTTCTAGAAAGGGCCAAGAGGGGGAGTGTAGATCTTGAAGAAAGAGATGACTGGGATAAAGTGACCTGCTGGGCAAAGGCTCCCTGCTTGCCTGAGCCTGACACAGGTGGGACACGATGGAAGGTTTTCGGATGGGGGAAATATAATGGAAGTGACTTTTGTCCCGGTCCTACAGGAGCCTCTAGGCCAGTGAGGGCGAACCTTTTAGAGCTTTCAATGATAACAAACAGCTGGCTGCGGCACATGTGCCAGAGCTTCGCCACTGCTGCTCTAGCCCTAGGTCCCTATCAGAGCCATATTTTCTCATCTGCCTCAACACCTGGTAGAAGGCCAGGAATTCCCCTGCCAAGCATCCAGGGAAGTTTATCAATTCCTTTCTCCTTCCTCTCTTTCTTACTTGCTTTCTTACTGCTACTGTAGGTTATTTCTACCCCCAGTAGGCAGATTTTCTGGAACTGAGAGTTTCCCTGGGGATAAGGTAGAGAATACGCTGTACTGATGGTATTCATGAAAGGGTGGGTGGGGTGCAACTTCTCTGCCAAGATTTTTTCCCTCTGAACTTCCTTCAGGAAAAGGTTCCCTGGATTACAATCGTGTACCCTTCAAGCTGGGAATGTATTCAGTTCTGTGCCCCCTTCTTCAGAAAGGAACCCTAAACATGAGCACAGTCCAGAGCAGCAGGCTCAGGAGGGGGTGGAACCACTAAATGGGAGTGGTGGTTGGCAGAAATGGCTCATTTTGCCATAGAAGAGCTAGAGTTTGCAGGCAAGTATTAGTTGTCTTCACATGTAGGACTGCTGTGTGCCAGAGAGCTAAGCTAGAACTTAAAAGGTAAACTTCCCATAGAGGCAAATTTTGCCAAGAACTTTCTAGGAATTGACATCCATGGAGGAATGGGCTGCCTCATGGGGCCATGAATGGGCTGTCAGTGGAAGTGTGCAAGAAGAATAGTTGAAGAGGGGATTTCTACACTGGGTAGGAGGTAGAAATAAAACCCTTCCTAGTGCTAAGAATCTCTGATTACACACACAAATCCAGGAGCTCTGCCAGGCCACCCACCCTCTGAGTTACCAAGATGGCCTCAGCATTGTTAATGGCTTCCAGCTGTATCCAAACACACACACACACCCTCTCTCTTTAACCCTTACATTCCTGAATGAGCAGAGTTACGCTTCATCCAGGTTGGAGAGGGAACGGAAGTTAGAATTGCTCTTTTCTTACACATCCCTCCCAGGCGAGCTTTGCCACTCAGGGTGAGGCCAGTATGGTGCTCCTCTTGGGGCCGAGTTGGGTCACAGGCTCAAGGAGCCTGTGGTCTACATTAAGAAGTAGAGGCCAGGGATTTAGCTCAGCGGTGCCATGGCTGCCTAGCAAGAGCAAGGTCCTGAGTTCGATCCCCGGTACCAAAAAAAAAAAAAGAAGTAGAGCACTGTGCTTAAAAGAGTAGGTTTCATTCTCCTCAACAAAGGTTATCGCCTCACCAAAATACTTCCTTTTTATCTTTTGTTCATTTAAACTTTGGTACTCAAGGCTGTGTTTACCATTTTGAGTCTTCAAGTGTGTGTGTGTGTGTGTGTGTGTGTGTGTATGTGTGTATATATATATATTTTTTTTTTGTACCGGGGATTGAACTCTGGTCCTTGCGTTTGTGCAGCAGGTGGCAAAAACCACTGAGCTAAATCCCTGGCCCAAAAGTTGGGATCCTTTTTGTTGTTGTTGTTGTTTTTGTTTGTTTGTTTTGGTACCAGGGATCAAACTTGGGACCTTGTGCTTGCAAGGCAGGTGCTGGCTTCAAGTATATTTCTGAAGGCAATTTTTGGCTTTCCTCTAATTTCTGCTCTCTCCTCAAATTAGCTAATTATTTGATCCCTGGATATAAGTGAAGTCTTTAATTCTCCTTTCTTCCTTAAATCTCTTGCCCACTCCCAAAGGCATCTCCTCCTTTAGATGTGAAGAAAATGAAAGATTTCTTGTTGGTCCTCAGTACTCTGAAGTAGGAGGTGATAAACTCTGTGAACTGGGATTAAATTCTGGTGAGACTTCAGCACTCTGAGATTCTACAGGGCAAGCAGATCTTTTGGGTGAGTCAATGAGGCTAAATCTGGAAATCTATTGTATGCGCATTACAAAATGACCAAATGTGTCAAAAGATTTCAGGTACACATAGTACATGCAGTAGGATTTTCCATGAAATAGCTGATTTAAACAAAACGGAAAATGCCACATGGAGATATTTTGCACCCTACTAATCAATTTTCCCCTTCATTTGAGGAGGCATTTGAATTTTATTTGCTTGCTTGTCTTGTTGTTGTTGCTGTTATTGTTGTTTTAAAGCATAGGAAATATTTTAAGTAACATTTGCTTTATTTGCACCCAGCAGGATTAGCAAAATTGGTGGATTAGCTCATTAATTTGTCCCACAGGGTGAAACAAATAAAATCAAACACATATGCTTGTGAACTTTGGAAAAACAACAAGCAGCGACAAAGTGTGGGTAAAGGTCAAGTATTTGTTAAACTTGTACAGAAAATTAAGCTGGAGAGAGTGAACTAATTAAATTCAGCAGTCATGTACAAAATCATTGCAAAGTGTAGTCTGTGTCCAGCCAGGAAAAGTAGCCATTTGTATCTTTCTGGTAGCTCTTCCTTTAGTACTGCATATGAAAACCATGGCTTATTTCCCCCTTATTTGTGAGATAGTTTGCTTTCTTGTAACAGTTAAAGAATCTTTGATCACTATTCAGGCACAGATGAAATGATTTATCTTTGGATTTCCTTTGCATGTTTTTGAATTATTCAATGCTTACAGGTTCAGTTTTCCTTCTTTTCTCCCTTTTGATTTTTGGGTTCATTTTCTTATTTACCTTCCCCCTTCTCTAGATTTTATCCACCAAATACAGAAAACTGACTTCTTTAGAGGACAGTGGCAGCTCAAGAAGTACCACTTTCAGGTGTGACATTTGGCAAATGGCCAGCCTGCATTCAGAGGGAAAGTTGTGTCTCCACTGTCAACCACGGGTGAGAACGTATTTATATGTTCTAGAAAAGTTTAATCCCCCAAAACACCAGGAGAAAGCAAGACAAAAGCCTCTTCTATTCCTTCCTGAGTGGACAGTTGCTGGTAGCAATGAAGAAGACCCTGGGCTGAGGCTCCAAGGACCAGGGGACCCCAGACCTGCTTCAGTGGAACCTTCGCAGAAGCCTGCAGTTGGCTTCTCCCTCCATGTCCTCACCTGCTCCTCCAGCTGGCTCCATTACCTTACCTGTCACTTTCAAGTCACAGCTCACATTAGAGTGTCTCAGTATCTGTCAAAGGCTCCTCCCCATGGCCTTTGGAATCAGCCACAGGGAAAAAGGAAGAGCCACTTGCAAACCAGATGGTCAGACCTGTGGAATTATCCTGGATGTTGGCCTCTGAGTGCATGTGTCCACTGCATTGATCTCACAGTGTTCTTGGGCGAAAGGTTTCATCTCAGAACAGAAAACTGATATTGCTAAACCACTATTTGAATGCACAATCAGAATCTCAAGGGCAGAACTACAAATGTTTCTGCTGTGGTTTGGGCCTCCTGGCCAGGATAGTAAAAGAGATTATTGGGTGATGTCACATACAACCAGCCAGATGTGTACCAGGCCAAATCAAGCTGTATACTCTTCTTATTTTGCCATTCATCTTTGCAGTGATCTCAGGCAAGCCCCATTGCTTCTGGGAAAACATTTCTTTATTAATTAGAAGAAGCCCTTGTAAACTTTCCTGGTGGTTGTTAATGAGAAAGAATTATTACAACATAAAAGCATGAGAAGCTTTGATGCTATATTTGATTTTGTTGATTTGTGATATGTAAATAGTGCAAAATCCCATTTTAAGAGAATTATGCAAAAATTCTTAGTTTAGTGAATTAAAAATGACTATTAATTTGAACACAAATGTACCCTTCTTCTTAGCTCTGACACCCAGTGAACAGTTCACATCAATTCTTCCTTTATAATGACTTTTATTACAAAGCATTCCTTCAATTTTTCTAAAAACTGTCCTTGATCAAGTTGGGTTTTTTGCTCAAAAATTATCAATGGCTTACTGTTAACTTTAGGAAAAGTTAAAAAATCCTTAAGAACTTTCCAGAGTCCCTTCTACAGAATTTCTGGGCTTGCCCTACTGTCTTTGCTACTTCCTAAATGCATGTTGGCTTGGATTTTGGCTTGAATCATTGCTCACACCTGGAACTCTTTTGATTTCCATCTGTTTAAATGCTACTAATTTTTCAAAGACCTAGGTCTAGTGACATCTTCATTCATCTATCAGGATATAAACTCTACAAGGGCAGAGATTTGTCCATTTTGTTCACTGATGTTCAAGACAACACCAAATGAAACCAATCCATTAGAAATTCCTGTCATTTTTATATCTAAATTTGCTGCCTCTCTACCTCCACCTTGATTAAGTCACTGATGTTTTCTGCCTGGACTGTTAATACCACACTCCCTTGTCTTGGTATTTTCCTGTTATGCGTGCTCATCCTTTGCCCCATCTTTCACTATTGAACAGTGCCATGCTGCTTTAAAAAAACAAAAAGGAATCAGATTTCATCATTCTCCTA